AGATTTAAAAAAAAAAAATAAATAAATAAATGCTCACAAAGGCTGCAATTATTTAATCAAAATCCAGTAAAAACAGTAATATTTGTGAAATATAGTTATGATTTAATTATTAACTAAATTGTTCTATATATTTTCAAATGTAATTTATTCCTGTGATTCAAAGCTGAATTTTCAGCATCATCAGTCTTCAGTCTCACATGATCCTTCAGAAATCATTCTCGTATGCTGATTTGTTAATATTATAAACCAGTTGTGATATTTTGTGATATTGCTTCATATTTTTGTGAAAATTGAGATGAAAAAATTTCAGGACTCTTTGATGAATAGACAGTTAAAAAAACAGCATTTATTTGAAAGAGAAATCTTTTGGTTTATCTTTTGTAAACTTAAAGGGATAGTTCACCCAAAAATGAAAATTCTGTCATAATTTACTCACCCTCATGTCGTTCCAAACCTGTATGAGTTGCTTTCTTATATTGAACACAAAAGAAGATATTTTGAAGATTGCTGGTAATGAAACAGTTGGTGGTTGCCATTGACTTCCATAGTATTTTTTTTTCCTACTATAGAAGTCAATGGCTACCACCAACTGTTTGATTACCAGCAATCTTCAAAATATCTTCTTTTGTGTTCAACATAAGAAAGCAACTCATACAGGTTTGGAACGACATGAGGGTGAGTAAATTATGACAGAATTTTCATTTTTGGGTGAACTATCCCTTTAATGCATCCTTGCTGAATAAAAGCATTACATTTTTAAATAAAAATTAAGCACTTACAATTACAAGGCTCGTTTTATAAGAATACAACAGTTTTCATAGAAATGTTTTCCACTAATTAAAAGTGGCAACGTCTCGATTGAATAATGAAACCCGATTAGTCGAGTCGATTATTTTCATTATCGATCATGTGGATTAGTTGTTTGCAGCCCTGCAACCCATAATGAACAAAATGAATAGTCCTGCATGAGAATCGTCTCATTCCGTTAAACACTAAACCTGATAAACATGTCAATCAGTGACTGTCAAGAGTTGCAGATCTGAAACCGGCAATGTGTTCAGAAACCGTGTAAAACTCCCCGTTACTCATACAGTTCACAGAGATAAATGACTCAGTGCTTTGAAGGGAAACCCAGTAGAGCTCCTTACATTTCTTGGTTTCCTGTCCCAACTGTCATGATTCTCAGGTCATGCATGCACCTCTACATGCACACACATTCCTCATGTGTTCTCGTTCCTCTCCACCCAGCCTCATCCTGCGGTTCAAGGGGCGGAGTCAACAGAGGATCCGCCCATTCAGACTCCGCCTGCTGCGTTACCATCGCAGGAGAGCAACTAAAACTACCTCAGTGATGACTTTGTTACTACGTTGGGGGTAATTCTCCATCTCAGCTGCCTCCATGTACACTGTAAAAAGTGAAAATGTGCCAGTGCTCAAATCACGCCCAAAATTTCAGGAAAAATCAGACTACATTTTTCAAAAGTGACCCTAAAATCTGTCAATCCCATCACAAGCCTTTATGATGAACACCTTTCGGCAAGTTACACTGCCATTTTAAGAACTGGAAATAATATCTTCTCTTTTTGTTTATTATTTGGATTCTTAAAGGAATAGTTCACTCGAAAATGGAAATTTGCTGAAAATGCACTTACTCTCAGGCCATCCAAGATGTAGATTCTTCATCGGAACAGATTTGGAGAAATATAGAATTACATCACTTGCTCACCAATGGATGCTCTGCAGTGAATGGGTGCCGTCAGAATGAGAATCCAAACAGCTGATAAAAACATCGCAAGTAATCCACACGACTCCATCAATTAACATCTTGTGAAGTAAAAAAATCTGTGTTTGTAAGAAACAAATCCATCATTAAGATGTTTTTAACTTCAGGCGTTGCTCCTGGCTCAAATAAGAGTCAATAATCCATAATAAAGCCTGAGGGTGAGCACATTTTCAGCAAATTTTCACTTTTGGGTGATCTATTCCTGTAGTCAACTAGAAATCAAATTTGAACTTAAAACATATTTTATTGTGCGTCAATATGGCATCCAGAAACTGTAGTATGTCTTATTCTTATAAAAACAGGACTCTAAAATAACAACAAAAAAACATGAACTTGTTTTGCTTAGGACATTTATTTAATGTTCAAGATCTTGGGATTAAAAATGATTTTTTAAAAATCCAAAGATAATAAAATGTAGAAACTGTCATCATCACAGTGTATGGATGATGCCTTGGTTATATACGTTTATTTAATCTTCTCAGGATTCTGGAGACATTGTATTGCCAAAGCTTGAAATTTACTCCTCAATCAAATGTTGCAACTTTTTAAACGGTTGATCTTATGTAATGTTCTTTTTATTCTTTTATTTTAATGTTTACAGTGGAAAGGATAGATTAAATTGCATCTATTTACACCAAAGAAGAATAATGACCTGATCAAAGATGTAAAACCACAATCATTATAATTCACATGATGATGGTGAAACTCAGTACCTCAACATCAGAAACCTCAAAGATTTTGTTTGCTCATTCTAGATAATGGATGATTTGCCATTTGTTTTTAAATGCATATATTGTCAATGGCCAGTCTCTTGAACAAGGTAACTTTTTGGCACTATATTTTCAAAATTAGCATTTTTAAAAATCATCCAGTCTAATTTGTATTGCTATGAATTGTGTTATTGCGCTGATATGGGAATGATGTTTACAACATGACTGATGTTTAAAGCATCTCCTATTGTCAACACAGTTGTGTTGTGTTAAATATTACAGCTCATATACAGATGCACTTAAAAACAGGTATAATGATTCTTTACAAAATTTTGATCAAGAACCTTTTTCTGATCAGGAAGATTTTGGTGTGAAGTCAATTCATTGTTCATGATATATGTCGTCAGTTTAGTCATTTACTTGTTAAAACATTTGACAATGTGCCTCATAAATACAGGCTCAGGTAACTTACCTCTTTTTTTATATTCTTCAAAGGCCAGTAATGCTGTTTATGCAGCCGTATGTCAATGAATAAAGGTCCTGTTTGAGACATGTTTATATCATCCATCAGTTATTGTCTTTATTGCATTAACAAGAACGATTCCCTAGTTTTCAATAACACCTGCACGTCATAGTGTAAATATCATTTTTATTATGTCCTTCATTGTCATAAAAGTTAAAAACGTCTTTAAAATGATCCGCCGCTGGTTTGTGGTGCACATAGAATTATTACATTTTGCTTATTTCATCTACACACGCACACACACACACACACACACACAAAATCACTTTTTTCATTGTAAATCTTGCGTAATCAGTCAGCATTCATCATTTATGCAGATTCACAGGCTCTGTGACAGAACGTTTGTGTTTCACATGGAAGATCTTTATAATACTGTATCTGAAATGGCTGACTGATGTCATCTCTGACACTTCATCACAATTTAAATTAAACAAATGTAACTTTAAAGCTAAAAATTCTGTTCTCAGGGAAAGTTCATGTACTTCCTTTTAGTAAACTCATCAGTTTACCAAACACTTTTAGCTATGAATAAATAATAAACCAAACTAATAAAGAATTCAAATTTTAAAAGGGAGGGGGGGGGGGTTAAAGTTGCATTTGGAGTCTCTTCTTAAAAATAAACATTATTTTATCAGTCATTCCAATAAAAAAGGAACACAATGAGTCTCATTCAATGTTTCTAAAATTGTTGTTTTGGAAATTGTCACATTATGCACATTTGTGACCCTGGACCACAAAACCAGTCATACGGGTAAATTTTCTTTGAAATGTATACATCATCTGCTACATCATAAGCTTTCCACTGATGTCTGGTTTGTTAGGATAGGACAATATTTGGCCGAGATACATCTATTTGAAAATCTGGAATCTGAGGGTGCAAAAAAATCTAAATATTGAGAAAATCACCTTTAAATTTGTCCAAATAAAGTTCTTGGCAATGCATATTACTAATAAAAAATTAGGTTTTGATAATTTACTGTAAGAAATTTACAAAATATCTTCATGGAACATGATTAATATCCTAACAATTTTTGGCATAAAAGAAAAATCGATTATTTTGACCCATACAATGTATTTTTGGCTATTGTTACAAATATACCCCAGCGACTTAACACTGCTTTTGTGGTCCAGGGTCACATTTTATGAACCATTCGTTCTGCTCATGTTGCATTAATGAGGCTTTTTACGGCTAGAGATGAAAATATTCAGTCCATATTGCATGAGTGTTCATAACAGTTGGACAGATCCAGTTGACTTCTGTAGCAGTGCAGAACTTTTTTTTTTTTTGCAGATTTTTAATCAAGTGTCCTTAAACTGTATAATGTAATATTTGTCACTGTACACTGTAAAAATATTTTCAGCAATGTTTATTTGTTGCAATAATTCCTGTCACTTGCTGATTCTGAGTTGATGTTCTTTGTCATAAATTCAAAGTGGTCGAAAAAAATGTATGATCTTAAAGGAATATGGATCCACTGCAGTGAATGGGTGCCGTGAGAATGAGAGTCCAAACAGCTGATAAAAACATCACAATAATCCAGAAGTAAATTAAGCTACAAGTCGTCTATCCATAATATTGCTTTCTACAGTGAAAATGTTGTCTGGTCTGAATCAGGAGAGAAATATGCACAAATCAAGCACCGTTTACAAGCCAAAATAGTTCTATACAAATATGTGGTTGGATTTTGATGTGAGAGGACAACAGGAGATGGTCTTTTTGATAGATTTATTAATCAAGCACCGTTTACAAGCCAAAATAGTTCTATACAAATATGTGGTTGGATTTTGATGTGAGAGGACAACAGGAGATACTTTGTACTAGAGTAGTTTGGATTACTTGTGGATTATTGTGATGTTTTTATCAGCTGTTTGGACTCTCATTCTGACGGCACCCATTCACTGCAGAGGATCCATTGGTGAGCAAGTGATGGAATGCTACATTTCTCCACATCTGTTCCCATGAGGAAACATCTTGGATGGCTTGGGGATGAGTACATTTACAGCAAATATCTTCATTTTGGAGTGAACTATTCCTTAAACGCTGCAGGTTGTAATTTTGGCTTAAAAATTATCTACAATGGCAGCAGTTAACCCAATGTTTTACATTACATTTTTTAAAAAGTAAATATTCCTGAATCCCAGTGTCCAGTTGTCCAGAATTATTTGTCCCTTTTTTCCTGTGCAGCATGTGAGTGTCATCATGCATTAATGGCATCAGCCACGTCAGTGAAAACAAGTCGACTGGGTTTTTGAGTTGTTCCCTGACTTGTGGTCAGTGTCTGTGGCGGGAAAGAGAGAGTGAAAGTAAGTAAACACTACGGGATATTGACTGTAGAACATTATAGAATATAATTAATAAAAATGCAAATCTAGTCCTACAATGTAACATTGCACAAATATGAATTAGCAAAATAAAATGAATTCTGTTATGTTGACAGTATGAGAATGAGACTAATGAGGCTCCTGGTGCCAGAACACAAATGGAGGAGAGTTAAATGTGGATTCAGTCACGGCTGTAGTTTGATGATTAGTGATATTAAATGGATGTGTGGTAACTGACACATTTACAGTGATTAATACTTTACCACAAATAACAAACCACATGGCCTGGTGTCAGAACTTAAGAGAAATAAAAATGGTAGAAATGAAAATTAAGAAAAAAACGTATGGGTGAAATGTTTTTAAGAGACTCCCCACTGTCTTAATTTTATAATAATTAAATTTTATTTACATTGTAGCAAAGTGTAATTTCTTCAGTGTTGTCACATGAAAAGATATAATAAAATATTTACAAAAATGTGAGGGGTGTACTCATTTCTGTGAGATACTGTATATTGCATGTATAATTTGTATCACATTCAACAGAATCTATCTATCGTTCTATCTGTCCATGTGGTGTTGTCCTCTTACTTTGGAGTTTGGTCCTGCTGGGCTTCCGTCTCTTCCGTGGTCCAAGAGTTCCTGCTCTAGATCATCTTGTTCTTCAGCTGGATCAAAGTTATACATGGGCATCAGCTGGTGTCTCAGTTTCTCCAGCCTGTAGAGAAAAACCATCACAGCTTCATTAAAGACACTCTTCTATGTGGGAAACAACGGAGGGTTCAAATTAGAACCAAAAAGGGATTTTCAGTCTTGCATTAAATATCCACTGAAAAAAATTTGATTTTTAAGACTGTAGTGGAGTGATAAAGGAATGTATACCTTTTCTTTTTCCTGATGTACAGAAGCTGGTGAGGAGAAGAAAATGCAGAAATGTTATGTAAGATTCAGAATTGTAATACTAATTTCATATTACATTCTCAATCAATTAAACTGACTTTTTAAATATAAATGTTCAAGAAAGTCTAGCGTGTCTAAAGTAAACAAATATTAGCACAAAAAATGATAATCAAGTGTGAAGGATTACAGTGATGATGGAAATTAAAGTAGTATTAGTCAAATAAATGTGTTATCATCTATTCTCATATAACCCAAAATATTTATGTATGACTTTCAGTAAATTACATGACTCAATTATTTTGTCAGAAAAGAGAAAGAGTAATTTTAAATGTGTGTATGCGCTTTAAAGTAAACTTTTAGATTAACTAAAATTTCAAAAAGTTTCAAAAGTTTGGGATCAATAAGATTTCATTAGTCTCTTATGCTCTCCAGTCACCACTTATTTGAAAACAGTAATATTGTGAAATATTATTACAATTTAAAATAACTTTATATATACTTTTATATGAGTATATTTTAAAGTGCCCCTATTATGGATTTTTGAAAATTACCTTTCATGCAGAGTGTAACACAGCTCTAAACATCCTGCAAAGTTTGAAATCTGAAAGTGCACCGTGTATAAAGTTATTGTCTCTCAAAAGAAAGAGTCGACTCTGAATCATTGAAACGAGTCGTTTTTAAAACGAATCCCACACGTTTCATGTTGATGTCAACATGAAACATTAGCATATTGCCCGCCCACTTGTTGGTCTTTTTGTGTTGGTCTGAATGAAAGTGCAAATTCATTCTTTGCCACTAGGTGCTGCTTTTGGAGCAGTAAAAATAGCGGTTTCCCCGGTAACACTGTACACAAAGCAGCACTGCGTTCACAAACGCTGCTTTATCAGGCGTTACAGACATGATGAAATGAAACTGAGACCAATCGACCAATCACCGCAGATTAGCGTCACGCAAAGAAGGGGTTTGGAAAAATGAATCGTTGAGCGAATCGTTTGGGAGTCGTTAAGCAAGTAAGGGAAAAATAAATGCATAATATAAGACAATGAAAGTGTTTTTTGACCTTGCATGCATGTCAACCTGTTGTTGGGGACTCCTAAAACCAAAATATGAACCTTTCATTACCCATAATAGGGGCACTTTAAAATGTAATTTATTCCTGGGATGTAAAGCTGAATTTTCAGCATCATTACTCCAGTCTTCAGTGTCACACGATCCTTCAGAAATCATTCTAATATGCTGATTGATGCTCAAGAAAGATTTCTGATTATTATCAGACAGTGCTGAAAACAGTTGTGCAGCTTAATAATGTTTTGTGGAAACTGATACATTTTTTATCAGGATTCTTTAAGGAGTTTCAAAGAATTGCATGTAGCCTATTTGAAATAGAAATCTTTTGTGGCATTATAAAAGTCTGTACTGTCAATTTTGTCGATCAAAACTGACAGTACAGACTTTTATAATGCCTTTTATAATAATCTTATTTGAGGTGTTTTCAGCAAATTACAAAATTTGGGGCAATTAATGTTGTCATTATCATCGAGTTCGCTCACCACGACAACAGCCAGCCCAATGACTGTGATGATGCCAAAGGGCACGAGCACCATCCCCATCCCGGCGCCCTCCACCGACGCCACGGGCAGCTGTGTGGAGTTCAGGCCGGTCTCGTTGACGGACGTAGTGACGGAGCGGAAGGTGGTCCTGAACGTCACGTTCTCCGGCTCAGTTCTGGGCTCTGCTGAACTTGTGAGAACGGGAATGAAGGTGGTGAGGGGGAGTGTAGGGGCTGGGAACGGGATCAGGGTTTGGGTGGAGGTGAACATATTGGGTTTGGTGGTGGGCAGAGACATGGTTCTTGCAGGACGTCGAGTGCGCTTTGAAGGCAACACTACAGGGATTCAGTCCTCCAGCAGGCCTCGGCCATGACGCTCAGCTGATCCTGAACTCCTGCAAGAATCCTGTGAAAGAACATTTGATGTTAGATTGATAGATACAATTTGGCTTTGTTTTTAAACATAGTGAGCTAACATACTGACTACTAACCTACCTAACTAGGCAGCTAGTGGGTCTATGGAAAAGTATAGGAACAACCGAGAATACAATGAAATTGTAAAAAGGATAATAAAAGTAAATAAATATTATGACACTTTATACATGTATTTCATTTTTAGATTTTATTTTCAATCTTTCTGAAGACTGAAAATAATGGGAATAATCACTTTATTTTATTCTGTTGACAGCCATAGATTTCTTTCTTTTCAGGTTTGTGTATCTAAATATATTTTGCTGGTGGGTAGAAAAAAAAACAGTGTAACCTAGAAACATAAATGTTTTCCAAATCATAATTTACACATACTATATTTTTTTTATTTTTCACAGTATACATGTTGGGTCTTCATGCATGAAAATATATAGATTTGTTAATGTCTTCTGCTCACCAAGGGTGCATTTATGTGATCAAAAACAAAATAAAAATAGTAATATTGTGAAATATTATTACAATTTAAAATAGTCATTTTCTATCTGAATATATTTAATTCTGTGATTTTTCAGCATCATTACTCCAATCTTCAGTGTCACATGATCCTTCAGAAATCATTCTAATATGCTGATTTGCTGCTCAAACATTTCTGATTAGGCTATTATCAATGTTAAAGTTGTGCTGCTTCACATTTTTGTGGAAACTGTGATTTTTTTTCAGGATTCTTTGATGCATAGAAAGTTCAAGAGAACAGCTACTGTCACTTTTGATCAATTTAATGTGCCCTTGCTGACTAAAAGTATTAATTTCTTTCAAAACAGCTTACTGACCCCAAACACTCTGCAAAAGATGGGATTTGGTCAAAATGAGGTGTTTTAAAAGACATAGTGTTACTCCTAAAAGAAAATGCTAAACCCAAGTTTTCTATCTCTTTATGAACATCTGAGTTAAGAAACATTATTAAAACTTTAGTCACTGTATTTGAAAGCACCCACTCGATTAGAAACTCACAAAGGGAAAAGGGGAATTTTAGACATTCATGTTTGGAAAGCAGCGGCTCTATCAGTGAGAAAATCTGTGTGTGTGATTGCATGATCTTGACTGAATGTGTGGGTTTGTGGCATGAGTGTGTGTGTGTGTGTGTGAGTACATGAGTACAAACCCTGTGGACGACATATGGATGTGTGAGCTTTTAAGATACAGTTAGCAAACCGCAAGCTTCCTTCCACATTACAAACCGTTAGGCTCCGTGTGTATGTGCATTTGTGGATGTGGGGGCTGGAGGCTGGAGGCAGGAACGAGGTTCGACGCTTAAAATATAGAATAGGAGAATCTGCTGTTGAGATCTCGGTGGATGTGAATGAGATTGTAGAAATCTCCTAAACCGCAGCCTGTCTCCATTCACAAAGAGCTGCTTGTGCAGTTAAAGGGGCATGTCAAAAAACGACAATTCAGCTATCATTTACTCACCTTCATATCATTCCAAATCTGTATGACTTTCTTTAAGTCGTGGAATGGAATTCTTTTGAAGCCACAAGATAACTTTGCTATTTGCTGAACATTTGACTTGAAATTCAAATTTGGGTGTGTTCCTCACACAAAGCTATTGTTTGAATTCTGAAGACTGTTCTGAAGAATATTGTGCATGAGTCAGACTACTTTTATGATACATTTATGATGCTTTCCGTCCAATCTTTTGTTGTATGGACAAAGCAGTGTGAGTATTTTGTGTTCCACAGAAGAAAGTAAGTCATATGGATTTAGAATGACATACAGTTATACAGTAAATGAATGTAAAAATTCCTCCATTCAGAAGTGACAATTTTTATAAATATTTAGCTTGATCAACACAAATATACAAAGATAAACAGCTCCCTTTGATGGCAGGGATCGCCCTTTTTTAATATTAAATTTGACATGTACAGTTAAAAAGTTTGTGCCACTTTGTACATACTGCTAATTTTATTCTGCAAATACAACACCATTCAAAATGTTGGGGTCAGTAAGATTTTTTTTATGAAAGAAATTAATACTTTCATTTAACAATGATGCATCAAGCTGATCAAAAAGTTACAGTAAAGTACAGTTCTTGTGAATTTGTATTTTTCAAAGAATCCAGCACAGCTGACATTGATGATAATCAGAAATGTTTCTTGAGCAGCAAATCAGCATATTAGAATGATTTCTGAAGGATCGTGTGACACTGAAGACTGGAGTAACGATGCTGAAAATTCACAGGAATACATTACATTTTAAAATATATGCAGATAGAAAATATTTATTTGAAATTGTAATAATATTTCACAATATTACTGTTTTTACTGCATTTTCAAATGATTAAATGCAGCCTTGGTGAGCATAAGAGACATCTATCAAATACATTAATAACATCTTATGGATCCCAAACTTTTGAACGGTACTGTATGTATGCAAGTGTGTATGTCTGAATGTGAAAGTGTAATATTTCACCACAAAACCAAGCTTCTTTTTAATACCATTTTAATATTTTTTTAATAACAACCTAAACACATTTTCTTTTCATATTTTGTGTCATGCAAAAACATCTCCCTACTGTAATGTAAAAAGAAATTAAGAGAGAATGCTTAAAATTAAAAAAACTAAATAAAACAGAATAATGAAAAATCGGGACGAAAATGTACGTAATTTTCATGACGATGAAAAAGATCTTGAAGGAATAATTCTCTTTTGTGTTCTGCAGAAGGAGGGAGATCATACAGGTTTGGAAATACATCAAGGCATGTAAACGTTTACAGAATTGTCATTTTAATTCTCCTAATATGTTCTACATAATATCTTTTTTTTTATTGTTTTTCATTTGAAGTGAAATTTCAATTGGACATTTTTACATGAGATTCACAGCATGTAAACGTTTACAGAATTGTCATTTTAATTCTCCTAATATGTTCTACATAATATCTTTTTTTATTGTTTTTCATTTGAAGTGAAATTTCAATTGGACATTTTTACATGAGATTCACGCATAGTTCTCCTGAAAGTGGTTGTGTGTGCGTTTTTGTTGCCGTTAGGTAGTTTTCTCCCTCCCTGCAGCAGCGGGCAGCAGTGGGTGTCGTGGCAGGATGTGGGTAAAGGGTGGCACAGAGAGAGAAACAGAGACAGCACCAGTCTGATACTGTACCTAGGAAGGCAAGTACCCAGAAACACGGCTCACGTTGAAAGAGATGCGTTTCGTAAGAGATGCACACAGATGTGCTCTTGCTTTCCCTCGCTGTTTCTCTCTCACTTTCTAACAACAGGCCCCAGGCCACCTGCGACTGACTGACAAGCTGACTCGGTTTTCGCATATATTCACACACTTGCATATTTTAGATGATCGGGAAAATTGAATGTTGTTTGCTAAGGCAAACTTAGTACAAGTGATTTGAACAAACCCTGAACACTAAGAAAAGACCAGAATTTCACTCTTGGACTCTTATCATTTTAACCAGTAAGTAATTACCTATAGCAATACCCAGAATACCACAGCAATCAGCTAAAACCAGTGTTTTTTTAAGTATTATTTATAAAGTATTCATGAATATTTTGAATGAGCTTTTATTTTAGACTTTCAGTTAAAATTGTAGTTTAAGTTGTTTACTACAGTTCTTTTTTATATATATATATTCCTATATAGCTTTCATTTTTATTTCAGTTTTAGTAATTTTAGGACTTTTATTTCATATTCTTTTTTTTAATGAATAGCTTTATTTATAGCTTGATGCACTGACCACAAACAGTAATTTCAGCTCGTCCCTCGGTATGTATAAACAAGCAAAAACTGCCTTTCCAGTAACGCATCTACAAAACCAAAGTGTTTAAAAGCCGAAATATGCAGCTTCCGTTTTCTTTAAAGCACTTTGAATGATTCTTCCGTGCATAATGCGTTACTTGAGTTGGTCAAATCTAAATCATCTATTATGCATCAATTCCTGGATGAAGTTTGCTGTATGTAAACACTACTTTTTTTTCAGATGTCACATCCCTTTCTAGTGTCCTTGCACTTATTATACAAATTCACCCCTTTTTATTGTCATCACAAGAGTAATTTATAATTTTGGGGTCTTATGTAAGATATAACTTTGCACAGGCAAGTCATTTTTGTGATTTTATTTTATGTTCACATGTAATTTTTGCATGTACTTTCAAAAGTGCATTATGTGTTTTGAATCGATCCTGGTGCAGTGCATTGCTCTATAGACTTCCATTGCAAGTTTGTTTAGAAACACTGAAATAGTCAACAACAGGTCCCTTGTCTTCCTGTTTACTCATCTTTTTCCCTGTCAAAGGACATTCAAACACTGGAGACAGAAATATCTGCAGTCGATCCCAGTAATCTGTGTATTTGAGGGTTAATTATCTTCTTACATAATCATTTAGGGTGAATGCTCTGTCTCCTCACTGTGCCTTTCTCAAGCAGTCTGCAAGCTTAATGAAGAACATGTTAGTGCCTCAGCCAATCAGAATGCTCTGGGCTCTCTTAAGCCTGCCTCCTCGACCAATCAGAGGCCACCACAAGACAAAGATAGACATACCTACAAAGACACCAAAATAACATGCCTGCTCCTTTGCCTTATCGGTTATAAATCTGTTTTTCTGCATGAACTGAATTGTATCGAGCATTTAAAAAGTGTCAAATGAGTGTAAATAAGCTGAGGTCTAATAAGAAACTGTTTGTCTCTTGTCAAAGGCTGCTGACATGAGAGACACTGACCTGTTCGTGAAGAAAAGTGGCCACGGCTGATGTCCTTCCAAGGTTTTCCAGGCAGGCGATGGAAAAAAGGAGAGGGAATTCTCCTTCCACCCCTCCTCCTTCGTTCCTCAGCTAGAACAGAGCAGCTGAGAGGCTGTAAATTGAAAGCTTTTTGCCCTCTAGGTCCCTGTGCTCACCACATTTTCTCCCTCCGTACAAAATCACGTCTCGTTTCTTCCTTCTCAGCTGTTTTCTGGTTTTCTTTCATAGCATTTTATTCAAAGACCAGACTTGAGGAGCTACAAGGATGCTACAAACCCAAGCTATGTGATCCAGCAATGTCCCGCCTCCTTTCCTGGACTGCTATTGGATGGCTGTGGGGCAGCTGTAGGCTGTGATTGGCTCGTCTGGCTGTCTGTCTAGTTTAGCAAGGATGAGGACAGGATTTAATGGTTGGACACACCAGATGCTGTGAATGTGCCCAGGGAAGAGAGTTCAGGGATTTTAACCCCTTGCTGTCTCACATGTGCATTATGTGAACTGAGGTGAGATGTGTTGTTATGAGCGATGGTTAGGGTCTCAAACGTTTATGGAAAAGCATTTTTGTAGTTAATTTTAGTTGTTTTATTCAGTATTAATTCATTATTAATTAATGTGTCAGGAACATGTCAGGGTCACTTCTGTTTTCTTTCTAAAGATGTATGTTTAATTGTTTAGATGTATATATTATGTTAATATATAGTTAACATAAGAATGGCACAAGAACCACCCAATTCGTTCTCTGAATATACAAAAATGTGTGTGTGTGTGTGTGTGTGTGTATATAATAAAACATATTACATATCTAAACAATTCTAAACAATAATATAGTGTTAATATATATATTTAACATAAAATATAGATATATATAGTATAATGCTGTCATGAAAATTTCACAATGCAAAATCTTAATTCTCCTGGCATAATTTTCATTATGAAAACTACAACAATTTTCAATTACGTTCAAATGAAATATGACATGTACATAATGATATACTGTATGTTTTTAATTAATTTATATAATTATAATATTATTGAAATAAACAATATCTAATGTCAGAAAATTGATCAGGGAAGGAAAAAATGATCCCATTTTATTAATAAGCCTAGTACTGATAATAACTGTATAAATATTGTAATATTTTAATACCTAAGTGTTTTAAAGGTAATTATTAAAGCGAATTAAAGAATATTTTTGTAATAATTTGTAAAAGTTTATTTATTTTTTTTACAATTAGTAATTTGTTTACTTGTTCATTGTAGGCATTCAAAATCAAATTAGGTTATACTATTATTTATTTAATATAATTTATTAGTGCTTCTGCTTCTTGTCAAGTCAAGTGCTATTTTGTTCTTCTTCTTCTTTTCTTTTTAATGGCGGTTGGCAAACCCACTTAAAAGGTGCATTTCCGCCACCTACTGGACTGGAGTGTGGAGCATGACGAATATTGGTGACAGCATATAAAAATTATATATATATTTTTTAAACCTAATAAAAAAAAAAATCAAATAACTTTTAGTTTGACCAAAGGAGTATTACACAAGGATACAATTATTTTATATACTTCATTATGTGATCTTCCAATTCTATTTATTAAACCTATTGCTTTCAAATAATTAATAATTGCATTATAGACTTTATACTGTGCTGAAGCATACTCAAGTATTGTCTTAATTGTAATTCTTTCAATATTCAACAAACTTAATTCTTCTATTAATCGCATTCTTTCTCTTTCATATGCTTCACAATGTAATAGGATATGTTCCACAGTCTCTGGTATACCACAATTATTGCAATTACCTGATTCATGTTTACCAATAATAAATAATGATTGATTAAGAGCTGTGTGACCAATACGGAGTCTAGATATTATTGTGTCCTCCTTCCTACTTCCAAAGTTTTTCCTTCCATTTCCAACTTGTTTTTGAATGTTGTATAGATGCCGACCCTTTATGTCCCTATCCCACATCTTTTGCCATTTCCTAATCATAGCCCCTCTGATTATTCCTTTCATTTCTGCTTTACTAAGTGATATATTTATATCTATATCGGTTTGTTTTAATGCCTTCTTGGCCATTTGATCAGCTTCCTCATTTCCCTCTATCCCAACATGTGCCGGTACCCATAAAAATGAAATACTT